CCGTTAAGCTTGTCCCACGTCGTCACTCCGCCCGTCTCTTGGGCACATCAAGCCTGTTCGACGTTGCGGACCTCGCACATAGCAGCATTGCAACCAAGATCAAAAGAGGAGGAGAGTAAGGGACTGCGAGAATTTGTAGCACGGAAGGCGGCGGGGTGCCAGTGCGAGGTGCGAATAGCAAGGGGTGTAGATGAGCAGGACAGAAGAAGGGCCGAGGTTCCGGAGGATCAAAAGAGGCGGGTCGAAAGTGCCGTGTAATTGCGGTGGCTGTTCAAGTGGTGTGTGCTTTCCACTTTCACCACACCGATCCGACCCAACTACACAGCCAATCGCTCGCGATGATGGGTAAGGGGAGGATTGGACTTCGCTCGTGGGAATACGAAGAGGCATGCCAGAAGGGAGCGAGCAGCAAGAAGGGAAGATGGCTCGGAGATGCAAGGCGGGGAAACGGGTTTATGCGGCATGCAAAAATTTGAAAAACAGTCGCGTGCGCGTTAGAGTGCAAGAAATCAAAATTTTTGCCCACACTAATTCCTAACCGTTTCTTGGATTTCTTGGCGCCGTCGCTAGCCGTCCGCACCGAAAATTCATAAGGGGCAGTTCCACCAAAAAGAAAGAAAAAGGAAAAGAAGAGAAAAACGGACCCAGGGCAAATCCACGCCCTGTACCAGGCGTCATATACCTGCTGCTGAGGGACTAGTTCCTCCCTCTCCCAATTTACCCAAAATTCTTTACCACCCCTGTCAATGTTCCACTCGGTGACCTGGATGATGACAACTTGTCTCTCAGAGATGCTGCTTCTGTCCTTCGACTCTTGAACTGAATGACTGGCAGCTTTGTGCGGACACGGTAAATCTTCGTCCGATGAGCAACAATTCTCGCTGACTGTGGCCTTCCGCTGGAGCTGTTTCCTTGTGCTTTTCTGGGGTGGGGGGTCCGTTCCCCGGGGGACACCGGGGAGCGATCGACACACCCTTATGACAGGATCTCCGTTAAGGCCACAGCCCGGGGGGCACCTTAAGCAAAAGGAAACAGCTCCAGCCGGGCATGGGGGGGAAACGGACGCACACACACACACGCTGTGCAGTTGATGAAAGTCCATTGAAACAGTCTGGCACAGTCATGACTTTTTTGCATCACGAGCCAGCTGCCTGCGTCTTCTTGTTTTAAACCACAAGTACACGGCCCAGCCTTGCAGAAAGTTTTTGTCGCCGCGAGCAAAACTCGAAGGGGCGGCACGGCGTGGGGCGCCCTTGAAAAAAAAAATCAACGGCCTCCGAAGTGGTGCGGGTTTCATGCTGACACCCGCGGGGCGATGTGTGGCGTACTGGTGCTTAAAAATTTAAACCACTAGTTCAGGCACCTAGGTTCACACCCCCCCCCCCCCCCCCGGGTTTGCCCAGCCTGAAACATCACTCCTACCGTCGTTGGCTCTTGCAAGAGTCGGGCCTCTTGGGATTGCATCTACTTGGATTGAAATATGCATTTGGTTTGGTGCAAAATTTTTGTGTTCTCTTGGGATTGCATCTACTTGGATTGAAATATGCATTTGGTTTGGTGCAAAATTTTTGTGTTTTTCCCCCCCTTTCAAATCCAAACTTTCACTACCTACCTACAAGTCCTCCTCAGGCTATGCAGGGGACCCCTGCAAACAAGGCGTCGCATTGTTGCACCCTACCCTGACAGCAGCAGTCCGGCAGCAGGATGGGGCCACCAGGGGGGGTGGGGGCAGCTTTCATGGACCAAACCATTTTTGCTTTTTTTTGTTTTTTTCCCCTGACGCAGAGTCGACTAAGGAACATACCTGATTTTCTTCAGAATTTTTGTTTACTGGATATTAGAATTAACATACCTGATTTTCTTCAGAATTTTTGTTTACTGGATATTAGAATTAAAAATTGCCAAAGTTGAGGGACTGGGAATTCCGTACAAGCCCCCTGTACCGCCCTGGAGTATGGTAGGCTGAAGCTGTATCCTCTTAGCACGTTCGCCAGTCCTTTCCTATTAGCATCGAGTTAGGCATCGGGCGAACTGGTGGTTTTCTGCGTTGTGCAGATGCATAGACCCCTTCCCCATTAGTAATGAGGTTGTCAGTGCTTTCCTATTACTAGGGCCCTTTCGGGTTAGGCAGGTACTATGGGTCTTCTGACTTTTTTTTTTTTTTTTTTTTTTTATATATATGAAAGCCCTTATGTAAGCTCTCCATTCCGATGGTGGTAAGAGAACCAGGGTCTTCTGACTTCCAATAGGTACATCAAACAAACCAGTTGGACCAATAGGTACATCAAACAAACCAGTTGGATCTCGCCGGTATCACCTAGTATAGGCTTTAACGCTGTAAGTTGGCTCCGGGGCTGTCCATTCTTCCAGGTTCAGACTGTCCATTGGTCCACTGGTTCAGGTTCACACTGTCCATTCTTCCAGGTTCAGACTGTCCAGTGGTCCAGGTTCACCTGTCCAGGTCTGCCTGTCTATTGGACCAGGTTCAGACTGTCTATTGGTCCACCGGTTCAACATGCACGTTTGGCTCGCTTGGATGTGCTGTCCCCAGTTTGGGCCTCGCCACACCACTCTCGAAATGTGAAAAAGACAAAAATGTGGCGCGTGCATCTGGTCATGTTCTAGTGGGAAGTTCATTCTCATTTTGCACATTTCGAGAGTGGTGTGGCGATGCCCTTTCTCCATGCTGTCGGCTCAGGTCTGCCTGTCCATTGGACCAGGTTCAGCTTCATTGATACGGGTTCAAGTGGTCAGACTTTCTCAGCTGGTGATCCTGCAGCGCGCCGCAGGAGGCCATGAGGATTCTGAAGGACGGCATGGGGAATCGAACTCACGACCTCCTGTTCATCGAGCTGAGCTAGAGGCTGCCAGCGCTTCAAAACTCATGATCTGAAAAAACACCAGCTACAGGGGGATTTTTTCATTCCGCCAAGTAACCATTCATGAATGGGAACTATTTCCTAGATACATGATCTGTTCAACACCAGCTCTTTTTTTTTTTTCTTTTTTTTTTAAATTTGTTCCACACCCACACCAGCTCAATGATCTAGGTAAATCATTCATGAAAGGTAAACCGTAAACATGAAAAATTACCTGTGCGCCGTCATGTACGCAGTGCACGGTTTTTTTTTCTGCACCGTAATTAAGAATTATTCACAACCCTCACAGCATATAAGGAGATGACCACATGGCAGGAAGCTAGGTAGGAGCCTACGGCCCCCACCACTGAGTCGTCCATCCAGGCCCCGCGATATCAAGCTCGTTCACGGACAAAATAGGGGAACGAAGTGTCCAGGAACAACGCACAGCTTCAGGCTGCACTCACATTAGGACTTTCTGGACTCAATTTGGCCAAGATTGCGGTCGGTTGCATCCGTGGAAATACCCTCGGGTGAATATGCCCTCTCATTCTCTCAACGAGATAAAGCGGAATCTTTTTCGTCTCTGCCAAGAGACTCTGTGGTTCAGCATGCAGTAGTTCCCTGCTCCGCTCTCTCTTCAAGTTGTTCGATAAGGCAGAACGCAAGGAAAACCACAGGAATGAGCAACAGGGCATGTTCACACCACTGCTTTCCTATATATATATATCGTCACAAATAGAACTGCCCGGTAAACCGTAGGCAGAGAGGGAGAAGAGGACAACAAACGAGGGGCTGTGACAAACTGTTTCGTCGGAGTTTCACCGACTCATCAGGAGGCTGAACCCTCAACAGTCTGTAGAATCCCCTCACTGATTACACTGTAAGTGATAATCCACCTTAACCAAAATCAAAGTAGACTATCACTCACCCACACCAGATGGAAAACTCTACAGACTGTATATATATATATATATATATATATATATCGTCAAATAGAACTGCCCGGTAAACCGTAGGCAGAGAGGGAGAAGAGGACAACAAACCAGGGGCTGTGACAAACTGTTTCGTCATATATATATATATATATATATATATATATATATATATATATATTCCTAGATCTGACACCCAGTTACATTGAAAAACCAGCTAAAAAAAAAAAAAAGAGCTTAACTTGCTGCTTAAGCCTTAAGAGTCTTAAGACCATTTGATTCCTTTCCCTGCTTCCCTTCGTCGTAGACAGGAATTCAATGAGCGGTGGGTGCACCGTGTGATATGACATAGTTCTCTCATTTGGCAAAGTGTTAGAACTTAGAAGCTCTGCGAGAAAGCTCAAAGACCACCAACGTCTCTCATTTTCACGTCCTGGTCCAGTTGAAGGACCTGGAACTAAGAGTGGACCAGGACGTGTCCAAAAAAAAAAAAAAAAAAAACTAATGATCAGGACAGAGTTTGTGGCAAACCAATGTGAAACAACAAAATATGAATACGGATAACAGATATCACCCCCCCGTAGTGACGCTGGTCGGGCTGTCAAAAACAAAAGAAGAAAAAAAAAAGATCATCGCTGTTAAACTGTCAGAGTGTTTTTTGGCCGGTCTTCTTCGTCCGATGCGGCCCCATATACGCTGCAGGACTTTTGGGGCTCAGGATCAGGACCCCAAAAAAGAATTGGTTGGTGGCACCAGCGAAAATCAAACGATTTGTTGGCTGTGCGTGTTAGGGAAAAAACAAGGCGTGTAAAGATTTAAAAAAAAAAAAAAAAAAAAAAAAAAAAAAAAAAAAAAAAAAAAAAGGCGTGCACTGGAAACTGGCATCAGCAAAAAGAGGCTCGCAAGTACTAGTGGTTTAAGTTCTCCTACCATTTGGGAGAATAGATCCCCTCCTCTCCTCCCTGCTTTCCTCCCTCTGTTCCTTGTTGTCCTTCCCCTCCTACACCTCCTCTCCTCCCTCCTCCGCTCCCTCCTCTCCCCCTTGCTCTCCTCCCTCCTCCCCTCCTGATCTCCTGTCCCCCCTCCTCCCCGCTCTCGTCTCCTCCCTCCTTCCCTCCCTCTTTCCCTTCATTCCGCCTCCCTTCTCTCCTCTACTCCCTCCTTCCTCTCTCCTTCCTCTCCTCCCACACATTCACTTCTCTACACGTGAGCTTGGAGAAAAGGGGCGCAGACACCGGATCTTCACATTTGGCATCTCACCAAGTTATTAACAGCTAGAAGCCATGCTCAATCAGGGAAACAATCAAGACATTCAAATGAAAAACAAACTACGCCAACGACCCAAGTACCCAAATTCATGCTGCGAAATGCAAGGCACAAAATGAAGTATTCTTGGGTTAGCTGTGATGCGCGCACGAAAAAAAAAGGTACCACCATACTCAGGCATACTGAAGGACAGCCTCCAAACCTCATGTGTAGGGCAATCAATCAAACGCACGAAAGCTGGAAGCAGAATACACAAAAAGAAGAACAATCTTATTCCGCATAGCCATCCATCAAGTCATCATCATCATCTTCATCATCTTCATCATCGGAGTAGTCGCTCAATGGCGACTTCTTTTCACCCTCTCTCCCCTGCGCCGCTTGCTTCAGCCCTGCCTCTACACCCCCTCCGCCACCGCCACCACCACCAACGCCAACTCCTTGCTTACCCGCCCTTGTCGACTGACCTGTCGCAAGACCGCCCTGCTGAGCATCATGATCTGCTGCCTCTTCTCCCCCAACTCCACCCACTTCGCCTTCCTCCTTGTCGTCGTCCGCTTCCTCTTCGTGCTCTACTACCTCCATCTCCACGTCCCTAACTGTTCCACCCTGCAAGATGTTCATTAGGTCATTCTCCACACTGCTCACAAGAGCTGGATTCAACTCCGGGTCGCGCCGAAACCGCCGCCTTCGCACATCGCGGAAAGGCGGCGTTACGCCATGCCTGTGCTCAGGGCCTTCAATCGGTTCCAGGCCTGGCTCGCGAACCAGAATCATCTGCCCTATATCTCCCGTCTTCACGAGATTGGTGTCGTCGTACGTTTTGTAGGATTCAACGACACAAGGGAGATCAAGCAGAGACACAGGGAATCTGTCCTCCCCGATGACAAAATACCCATTGCGCCCCTCTTCTTCAAATGAGAGATTAATAGGCCCATCCGACGCTCCAGAGGGGTCTTCATTCAGAGCTCTCTCTATCCTCTCTGCGACGGAAGGCGGCACTCGCAGAATGAATTGTTCTTCCATGCTGTGTGTGTACTACAACAGAACTCATACAGCAAGACCGCGCGCCTAAGCAACTTCCGCTGCAACCAACAGAAGAACAGGTGTCAGTGCAGAAACAACAGAAGATGCCCCCAACAAAAGCCTCTCCCCTTTTTTTTTCTCAATTAAAAACAACCTTCTTTTTGCAGCAAACCAGAAAAAAACATAACTTCAAACACGCTTTCTGCTATGCCATCGAAAGCATGCCTTGTCCTTGTCCTTCCTTGTCCTTGTCTCTTAACCAAAAAACACTGTTACGCTCGGCCCTAGCTCTGTTGGTACACCCATGAACTGTTGAAATATGAATCATACCCAACTTCCAAACCAGATGCCGTCAGATTAACCGAATAACATATTTGAATATTTGAATTATATTTCTGAATTACCTAGCGCAGGTCAGTCAGTTCAATGATGATATCTAAACACCGTCGCCCTTTTTCTTCTTTTTTTTTCTTCTTTTTTTTTCTTCTTTTTCCTTTTTTTCTTTTTTTTCTTTTTTTTCTTTTTCTTTTTTCTTTTTTTTCTTTTTTTTTCTTTTTTTTACAGAAGGGATAGGCGTTGGAGTTGACTCGCAGGAATTGGCACGGGTGGAGAGAATGCTTCGACAAGCATCGCAGATGAAATCACTGCACAGGACAGAATGAAAATGATAAGAAGAAAAGCAAAAAAAGTTTTAAAACTTAAAAAAAGCATACGCCGTGCACATATCGCATCGAACGAAGTAAAGCGCACGTGAGGAAAAAATTGCAAAGAGAACGTCTGACCTCACGTGCGCTTGTCGTTATTACTACCGCCCGTCGTAGTAGTGATGTCCGAACAGAAAAAGTTGAACAAGTTAGAAAAAGTTGAAAAACGGAATAAGAGAGTTTTCTTTTTTTGTTTCCTCAAAGAAATGGAGAGAAGTGAACCGACCTCAAACCCACTTAGTGGAGATTGTTAAACGTCACACAGAAAGGACTTGAACATTACAAACGCAGAGAGGAGTGCGAGAGGATTTGGAGGAGCAGATAGAAGACCGAAAAGCGTATCGACGACCGGACCAAAATGGAACTTCGAGAGAAGGTAGTACGAGTACTGGAAGTGCAGCTCCGCTTGTATCAGAATTTCTGCGAGAGATGATCTTACTCTCTCTCTCTCTCTCTCTCTCTCTCTCTCTATATATATATATATATATATATATCGTCAAATAGAACTGGCCGGTAAACCGTAGGCAGAGAGGGAGAAGAGGACAACAAATGAGGGGCTGTGACAAACTGTTATATATATATATATATATATATATATATATTGTCACATCACTACAAACTAAAAGAGCGCACTTTGCGGAACAAAGAATAAAAGCAAAAAACGGGCACAATGATAACATGCAAAAATAAACACAAAAAGAAAAAACAAGGGCAGATTGAAACCATTAAATTTCTCATTCTTCTTTGAACTCCACCTCCACTGTGCCTCTCACGTGCAAGGCTCGCCACGTTGATGAAGTTGAGCGCGAGCTGCCCCCATCCCCGTATGCCATAACAGCCCACTTGCACGCTGTGAGAGAGGCAGAGTGAAGGGGAAGGTGTTAAACACAGGGAAAAGCTCAAGAATGAGGCTGTCCTTGACGACAGAAAGGACACACATTGTAAGGATGGGGTGGATGAGCGCATGGAAGACCTAACTGAGCATTCTCAAAACAACAACTGCCACGACGGCTGGCATGAAGCATGCCAACCATACATTCCTGACAAATAGCATGTCTATTGCAGGCCAGAATAAAGGAAGAGCGCCCCCCACAAAAGAGCATGCATTCAGCATAGCGTCCGTGGCCACAAAATGGACATATAGTGTCCGGATGAGGAGGGTGCCTGCAGTCAGGAACAGAGGGACAATCCTGTACACACATGGATGCAGAAACCATCTCGTGGTAGTGATTGTGACAAAGATGATGGCGAGTACACCCAAGTGCAATATATATATCTATCTCTGTGTGTGTGTGTGTGTGTGTGTGTGTGTGTGTGTGTGTGTGTGTGTGTGTGTGTGTGTGTGTGTGTGTGCGCGCCTGACTCTCCCATCTGTCTCCCGTAATACATTGGGACAGCTCCCAACCAAGGCCATTTTGCGGAAGACAGAGAGGAAGACGAACAAACACCCGGCCTTACACTATCAGAAAAAAAAAGTGAAAAGCCAAAACTTGGATGCATATTTCCACCTTCTGCCAAAGCGAGCAAGCAATTGAGAGAGCGACAGAGGGGGGAAGGTACGAGGAGAGATCAGAAGGGCAGAGAGAGGGAAAACAAGGAATCAGGAAGCGAGCGCGCGCGAGAGAGAGAGAGAGAGAGAGAGAGAGAGAGAGAGAGAGAGAGAGAGAGAGAGAGAGAGTTTCCAGGTCTTTGAGAAAGAGAAGGACAAGACAGAGTGGGAGAGAGGGACGGGCGGGAAAGAGAAAGACCGAGAGCAAAGCAGTTCACGAGATGCAGTGGGAGTTACCAGGCATAAGACGGAGGAGCGCGGGAAATAAAACAGAATTCATGCACAAGATGGGCAGTTCTTAAATTGCAACACACATCTTGGGATGTACAACAAAATCCCTGTCTGGATGTTGAACTGTTAAGCCGTGCTCCAGATCGCCTTTGGGAATTTGTTGCTATGTCTCAGTGGAAGAACATAGCTGCTATGTATAAGACAAAACTCACACGGGTTACTCGGTAGAGGACGGGAAAACAATATTTAGTATTATTTAAATTTATTTTCCTGTCTCAGATCGCCTTTGGGAATTGGAGATGAGAGCAAATGGGCAGTCCTGTCTCAGCCCGCATTTGTGAAATTCCAGATAAGAGCAAATGCGCAATTTTAATAAGAAGGAAAAAATACTAAAATCGTAAAAATACATGATCCCGGTGAGGGGCGACAGTCACAACAAGATGTTTGAAAAATACATTCCTTCATGATTTTCATGTAGTCTCCCCTCGCAGTTTCAACGCGGAATGGATGTTCGACGACTACCTCCATAATGACTTTCCTCATTTCATGTTGTCTGCCTCTGAACACAGAAGTGACAGAACAGATCTTTCAAGACGGACTTGATACTGATGATTTGAAATTTGAATGGAGCTCTCAGGGTGCTTCTGGCTAGTCCAAGTTTGGTCTGTTCTTCCAGATAGATGTAGCAGCAGGGCTTAGTAAATCCGCGTTTGAAGGCAACTGCTGCCCCCTGCACCGTATCTCCCGCCTGCCCGCCCCCCCCCTTCTCTCTCTCTCTCTCTCTCTCTCTCTCTCTCTCTCTCTCTCTCTCTCTCTCTCTCTCTCTCTCTCTCTCTCTCCCCCCCCCCCCACCCACCCACCCACCGACCCACCACCCAGCCACGCACATACGCAGACACACAGACAGACAGACACACACATACACACACACACACAGACGTGATACACACGCACACACACACACACACACACACACACGGGGGCACACACACACATACACAGACACATAGACACACCTATAGACATACACACACATACACACACACATACACACACACACACACGGGCACACACACACATATACAGACACAAAGACAGACAGACATACAAACACAGACACAAACAGACAGACACACACACACACACAGACACACACACAAACATGTGACATGCACACACACACACACACACACACACACAATCACACTCACACATACACACATCGCGCCTCGCTCCCCTTCAGTCTAGCACAGTCATACTTTTTTGAGTGTATAGTGAATATGACAGCACACACACACACACACACACACACACACACATACATTCACACACACATATGCACACACACACACACATACACACAAACACAAAGATAGACTAACATAGACACACACACACACATATGACACGCACACACACATAGACACACGGGGGCACACACACACATACACACACACACACGTGACATGCACATGCACACACACACACACATACACACACATACGCATCCACACACACGGGCTTTTGCGTGTGGTGCACACAAACACACATCGCGCCTCGCTCTTCTCCAGTCTAGCACAATCATACTTTTTTGAGTGTATAGTGAATATGACAGCACACACACACATGCACACACGCACGCACGCACACACGCACACACACATACATTCACACACACATATGCACACAAACACATACGCACACACACACAAACACAGAGATAGACAAACACAGACACACACACACACAGACACATGGGGGCACACACACACACATACACACACATACGCACACACACATACGCACACGCACACACGGGGTTTTGCATGTGGTGCAGCAT